TAGCAAGTACACAGAACTCACCCAGGAAATAATTCATCTGTTGAGAATGGATAGGGTGCTTATCGTACCTGTCGTTCTCTCCTGTACAGGTGTGATACCACACACACTACACAAAAGCCTGGGAACATTACAACTGAATAGAAATACATACATCACACTACAGAATGCCACTATATTGAATACATGCCATATTGTTAGGAAATTCCTGAATGCAGATACAGACACTGACACACTTATTTCATTTTAGTTTTGTTTTGGTTACTATGCCTTGACTTTGGTCCGGCATAGTACACAACCACCAGTGTGAACCGAGTATAGCCCACTAAACCCAACATAACAACAACAATAATAATAATAATATTGAATCAACAGGGTCCATTCTCATGAGTTATGCAGAGGCTCATGTTTGAAAGATTTGTCATGTGCTACTTTCACCACTGGTGGTGAAAGCAGCACTGGTCCAAGTATGGCTACTCAATTTTCACACCAGTTTTGGGAAACCATCCTAATTTTGATGTTTCTGAGGCAGTTCAGCCACAGACCACTAAGGCAGGTAAACCACGCCAACAGATGAAATGGACATCGGAAATGAACAAGTTTATCATCCATACTTACTTCACCATTACAAAACTTGAAACAGATATGACAGCATACAGACAACAGTTACATCACTGTTCTCACAATATCCTCATCTCACTATCACTGTACAAAGGGTTGTTGATCAAAAAAGAACAATTATACATAACAACCTTATACCACGACACATTAAATAACAAATTGCAGAACAATTATACCAGCAAACAAATTCTCCTAGCATCAACAACAAAATTACATTATCCATCAGGATAATCAAGATACATGCAATACTGTTTCTATAACCACTATTTTCACTGATGCTGACAATATCAACACTTCTTCACTGCCTGAAATAGATTCAGGTTTAATTCATACTCTCTCTCTTCTTTACCAAGAAACACTTGCTAAATTTATAGGCACTGACCCTGCACAATGGCCATGCATTCCCAAAACCAACATTTCCAAACTAGTAGGGAAAACTACATTATATGAACACTTACATATTACCAGATTGCACTAATTCTATTTCTACACTCTCAGACATCCACACATTAGTCTATGCTGGTGCAGTCACAGTAGTGACCTACCAAGGACTAAAACTATATCCACAGACAGACACACACAAATCAAAAACACTTCAGAAGTCTACCTGGCAAAGAAGAATAGAAATGCAAATAAACTATATTAGGCAGCAGCTAGGCAGGCTGACACAATATGCTAATAACAATACAACACCTAAATGAATGAAACAACTAAAAATTTTCAAGAAAATTAAAACACACACCATTTATGAACAACACAATGTCCACATTGTAGTATACATTGACACACTGAAAGAAAAACTTCATTCAAAACATGGCAACTGAAATGATACAAAATTTGCTCTGTACATAAACAACAAAATAAATTATTCACAAACAATAAACTCTTCTACAGGCAATTAACACCAAATCCACTACTGATTCCCAACACAATGGCATGCCAACTGAAGAACTCACAAATTATTGGTTCTCTCTTTGGTCTATTGCTGTCATGCACAATGCTGAAGCAGACTGGATCAAAGAGGAGAGCAAAGACATGTAGGACACACTAGTATGCATTGTGTTGAAATAAATACATAACAAATTGCACAATGCAGAAAGCACACAACTGGACAGCATCTGGTGTAGACAACATAAACAATTTCTGGCACAAAAAATTCACATCCTTGCATCAGGAACTAGCCAAACATTTAACTAATATCATCAATAATCTGCAAGACATGCCAAGTTTTCTCACGCAGGGCTTCACCTACATGAAATCAAAAACACCACCACCAAATATCCTGAAAGTACAGACCAATGTTTTCCAATACTTTATAAGATTCTTACCTCTTGCAATTGCAAAAAAATATACAATCATATTGATGAACACAACATTCTTACAGAACAACAAATGGCTGGTATAGAAATCATAAAGGTTGCAAAAACAACTACCCATTGACTCTATTATCCTATGGCAAGTTCATAAGCAACACAGAAACATATATGTGGCATACATTGATTACAGAGAAGCATTTGATAGTGTACCACACACTTGGCTATTGCACACACTTTGCATCTTCAAAATTCATTCCCAATTCATTAGTTTCCTTTGTTTTACCATGCTTCACTGGAGAACAACATTATATCTTAACCTCCATAACACAAAAACAAATCAAATATACATTAAGCGAGGAATTTTTCAAGGAGATTCATTGAGTCCTCTTTGGTTCTGCCTTGCACTTAACTCTTTATCTAACACATTGAACAAAGCACAATATAGTTACAATATCAAACACAATGAAACAACACTATTCACATTATCTCACCTCATGTACATGGATGATATCACAAAAAATCAGCTTTGTCATTTCTTACAAACTACACACACATACCGTATTTTGACGAGTATAAGTCGCACTTTTTTTTCTACTTTTTGGGGCTCAAAATCATGGTGCGTCTTATACTCAACAGGTAACCATTTTTACAGCGAAATGATCTATAGTAGTGGTCCACTCTAGGGACCAATCTGTGCAGTGGTCCGTTAGGCAGATGGTCCCTCAACCGAATGGCTAGAGTACCTAGATTACCAGAGTAGCGATGCACGAGTCATCGCCGCCATGTTCTGTCAACTGTGATCACGTAACCTCTGAGTTTACATTAAGAAATGACAATTATTTCAGTTTAATAAACGTATCGATTCATCCCTCCGTCACATTTTTGAGTAAAAATATGAATAAAATGCATCTTTAGACAATCCCATTAAAAAAGTTTTTTTCTAAATTTTTTGTCTTAAAATGGGGGTGCGTCTTATACTTGACAGCGACTTATACTTGTCAAAATACGGTACTTAAATGATATACAAATAAAGTTTGGTCTACACCAAGACTGCCCAAACCCAGGCCCACGGGCCACAAAGTGGCCCGCCAACACATTTAAATTTGCCCGCCCACAGTAGCAGTTAGCTGTCACCATGCGCGATGTCGTGCTACCAATAATGCCAACCACCACGTAATTGGTCGATTGGTCGAACATGGAATGAACTATGACTTGAATCACCACCACACTGCTGTTAATACCTAACCTATGCGTTTATTACACTTGTTCTATTAATTTTGAGTTGACTTTTGTGTATTAAAATTAAATTGTTGTTGTCACCAAATATTGAAAAATTATTAGCTAATAAGCCCCTTCATAGATCTCATTGATGTATTTTTTATTAGGGATTATTAAAACGTGTAACTTAAAGCTTTGTTTGATTCAAAGACCTATCCATTTATAGAAGAATCATGAGTGTAAGCAAGTATGATTCACTAGGTGGCCCACCAGCTGACATGTAATTGAAATTATAGCCCTCCTCCAAAATGAATTGGGCAGTCCTGGTCTAGACAAATGCAAAACACTCCACATTGAAAAAAGAGTTTTGAAGAAAGGAGACTTTGTACTCATAAATGGAGATATTACCAATTCTGTAGAAAACGGCAAGATTTACAAATATTTAGGATTCCAACAGGTCAAACAGAACATGTACAGATAAAACAAAGATTAACACTTGAATACCAGAACAGATTACATACAATAATTAGATGTGTTAACATCTAAATGCAAAACATACTATTAAAGCTATTAATACATATGTTGTCCCTGTACTCACTCATTCTTTTGGAGTTATACACTGGAAATGCACAGATCTTGAGCAACTCCAAAGGAAAACAAGAACAACACTTACTAAGCATAAACAATATCATCCAAAATCATCTTAGAAAGACTAACTCTTCCTTGTAAAGAAGGTGACTGTGGCCTGACTAATATAATTAACCTGCATTACAAACAAATTCTGACACTGCAAGAGTTTTCCACAAAAAAAAGGAACATCAAGATTACATAAAGCTATAACTGGCAGACAGTAACTGCACACCTTTAAACTTTGAGCACCTGGACATAGCTCAACACATAAATAACATTGACACCATTAAGCAGTCATAGGCCCAAAAGGAATTTCATGGCAGGTATGCCTATGACTTAGCTCAGGACTATGTTGACAAACTTCATGAAACTACTGACTGACTAGGGGCTGTCTGTTTAGATTGACTGAGGGGTTTATGGTTGCCATTCAAGACTAGGTTATGAACACTAAAAACTATAGAAAACACATCCTGTAGGATACATCACTAATGAATGACTTGCAGAAAATGCCACATTCTGCCAGAAACAATATATATAACTTCTGGTTGCAAGCTCTTAGCACAGACTATTTACATAGGCAAAATCAAATAGCAAATATAATAAATTAAGAGCTTGCACACAAACACAAATTATTAAACACCCAGGTACTATACTACAAATATACTCCACAGGCAGTGTTAGAAAATGATGCACAAAATATAATACAACAGAGCCATAATCACAGATAAAACAATTCATCACAATAGACCTGACATCACTCTCATTAACAAATGCAGTATGATCACCTGTATAATAGACATTTCCATTTCAAACACTCATAACATGAAAAATGCAGACACTGAAAAAAAGCAACAAGTACAGTACACAACTTGCCCAAGAAATGAGTAAGTCCCAGGCAACTGTGAAGGATGGATAGAGTATTTATTGTGCCTGTGATCCTCTCTTCCATTGGTGTTATACCATATATACCACACAAAAGTCTAGAAACATTAAACCTTAATGAAAACATATACATGGCATGCTCAGCTGATACTGGTGCCAAGTGCTATGCCAGACTAAAGTCAAAGCATAGCTACCCAAACAAGTGTTACATTAAGATGTGTTATTGGTATGTGTGTCAACATCTATAAACTTCCTCACAATGTGATATGTANATGATATTTAGTTAATCTCTTATAATAAATTAAATTTGTTTTCATATTAGCTTTGTTTTTATAGTTGAAAAGACTTATTGATGAAAAAGATGAAGTAAGAGCTGCGGCATTAGAAAAGCAGATCTTGGAAGTATGGGACAGAGTTTATCATCTTTGGGTTTCTCGAAATGTTAGTGGACCAGTATTTGACACTCATCATCAAAGTGCATCATTTGATAATCTCATTGATGGTTTAAAAACTTTAAATATTGGATTGTTGGTTAATTTCGTTAAAGAAAATATTGGAACATTTATGAAGGTATGTTTCTTTAATAAACAGGTAATATAAAATTTACAAATGCTAAATTAATAAATAGTTTGACATATTAGGAGCTTTAATTTTCTGTTTTGGAAAAATTTTAAATTAAAATTTTTTTGTCTCAAATTAGAAATTATTAAAAGTATTGCAGCATTTAAGACTTTTGATTGTTTTTAATTCTGGAGCATGAATCATAAATTAATATTATTTTGCCATATCATTGGTAAGAAATTATTTAAACATATTATGAAAATGATCTACAAAGCCATGTTCTATGCAGGACACAATATATACTGATTAAACACAATCTGAAACATACTTAACTAGTGATTAAAACAAGAGGAATAATTATTGATTAAAATTAAATGGATTGGCTAAAATTCAAAACAAACAAATATTAATTAATAGATATTTTTGGTTTGAAAATTGGTTCTGCTGTTCATATTTGTACTTGAAAATAATTTAACATAAAAATTTAGTTTAAGATTAAAATTGAACACCAAGTCTATCAGAGAACAGTCATAATTTATTCACTTTCACTGCTTCAGAATACAGGTTTTGACAACTGATCTTTCTTTTTAATTAAGCTGCTTTGATGACCAAATTTTTAAAAATTTCCTTTAAAAACAATGAAAAAATATCTAACTAAAAATGTAAATACTTAAATCAGAGCACTTTTTTTAAACACAATTTTTAAAGGAAATTTAAAAAATATTTGCAATCAAAGCAGCCTGCAATGAATTGTAAGCCATCAAAAGCTGTATTTTAGAACAGTAAAAGTGAATAAGTGGTGACTTGACCATTCTTAGACAGACTTAATCTTTAATTTTAATTATCATCTGGTAAAAATTTTTTAACGATAAAAGTCAGCATCAATTTATCAATGAGTGAAGTATATATACATCATAAAAATCAACAAAACAATATTTTTTAAAATAAATACTTTTTTTTTTATTTGTAATAAGTGTTATTTTAAATAGGGCTGGATGGTTGAGGCAGCAAAGGTGTCAGCCTAAAGATCAAATAGTTTAAGAATATTCTTGAAGTATTTGATCTGAGATAACACATTGATGTTTCCAAAAAATATTTAATCTAGAATAAAATTCATGACTTCTTAAAAAGCTTTAGTAATGTTATGGGTTTTTTTTTTCTTTCTTCTTATATGTGGAGACATCTGATTCAAAGATGATGAGAAATATGTATACTAATCTCAAAAGAATCATTAAAAAGTATTTAAGAGACTACAATTAGAGTAAACACCAAATGGCTAATAACTTTATTATTTATTCTAATCTTACCTTATTGGAACTTTAATTATACAGTGGTGCCTCATATAACGTACTTATTCCGTTCCAGGTGAACATCCGTTAAGTGAAAAGTCTGTTATTCAAAGCACATTTTCCCATAGAAATACATGTTAAAACATAATTCGTTCTGCAGCATAAAATAACTGTACTATACCATAAAAAAAATGAAAATGGAGCAGTCACCAATTATTCCGGGTAGTCAGATGTTGTGAAGAGGAGGTGGAGGAACACTTTATTCACACATTCATACAGATACAGACTTTTTTACACATTGCAGCAGGTCTCTTTTTATTGTTTTTTAATCTGAGTCAGAGTCAGGAGAGGCTACTGGGGCTTGCAGGGTCAACTCCTCTTGTTCCATCCTTTGTTTTTTGGCAGCTTGCTTCTTGAAAAGCATGTCCAAGGTGGTCTGTTTCTCTCTCTTCTTCAACACCTGTCGGAAATGACGGGCAAGGGTGTCATTGTAGAGATCATTAATCCTGTTGGCCTCAACTGTGTTTGGATAATGAGTGTTGGTAAACTCCTGAACCTCTCTCCGTTTGACAAGGAAGTTTTTGTCAACTTTCACTCCTTCTGATGATGTCTTGCTTTGTTTCAATTGAAATCACCTTTCTGCTTTTTAGAAGCCATGATTTGCACAACACTTGAATAAATGTAAATACCCTGCACTGAGGTGAGGTACTGTACGTAATAAGGGAGCAAGCCGAATCTCAACAGGAGCTCTGTACTTCAGATATACTAATAATATATTGTAATGATACTAATATATTATAAAAATAGCAGATTGTCATTGGCAACGGCAAAAAAGTGGAAACATCATTCGTACTTGTTTGTAGAAAGTCCATTGTTCGCCTAACATAACTGCCGAACGAAAAGTCCATTGTTTGCAGCCAGTCCGTTCTTCGAGTCACGTAACGGCCAAACAGATAGTCCGTTGTTCGCAACGTCCGTTATTCGAGGCGTACGTTATACGAGGCACCACTGTATATAATTTATATAACTTTCTGTAAAATCATTAACTAAAAATTTCTCTGATGAAATTTAATATTACAATCAAATTGCATAGAACATACAAATGAATTTAAGGATTTATTGATAGGTATTTAATCCAGCCCATAGTCATAGTATATCTTAGATGTATTATTCAAAGATAATTAAATGTAATATTCTTTATTATATTAAAAAATTTTATTTTTTACATTTCTTTGTGCAAANGCAATAAATGGAGTATTTGCTGCTTCATTTAAAATGGCTGCATTTTATGGAATGTACACATGGCTAATTCATACAGTTTTTGATGTAAAAATCATTTATATTCCTTCAGGTAGGATTTATTTAAGACTTTAAAAACATTTGTTACAAACATAAATGTTTTAATGTTATTGATATTAATATATTAATTGTACTGAACAACAATTATATTGTTTATTTTTCTAATGTAACATAAAATATCACATTGTTTCAACTTGAATTTTTCAATGTTTATAAAATAATTTTTGGCAATAAAAATGAGTAATCATATTTTTATTCTTGGAGTTATTCTGGAACATACCTAAAAGATATAATTTCTGAAATTTAACAAACAAAAAAGTTGGTACTTACAACCTCATTTTATTTTTAGACAAATGTTTTTCAGAATTTTTTATTTCTTTTTTCATTCTAATATATCAATTAGCACAATAGAAACAATAGCTGAAATACTATTTTGATTCTAATGTTTATCAATATGACTAGTTTAAAAAGTTTTAAAGAATAATTACTTTTAAACAGATTTAATTGGATGCAATTATAGAATCCAAATTTTTAAATATATTTTTTTCCCCTATTCCGTTGAATAGTCATGTAGAAACAAGTCTGAAAAGTTAATTAAATATTTAAAAAATTCACATAATACAACTGCTTGGAGTAATGTAATTGTTATTGAACAGAGTTTGTGAACAATCTTATTAGTTGTATGTGGTAAATACTATAATCGTATGAATTATTTATAAAGTAAATCTATTCTTTATGTACTTGGCTATTTTATTCAAAAAATTTAACGTTTGTTTTTCATATATTTGGCATGACATTCTGATTTTAATAATTTTTCAATTTTATTAAATATGCAAAAATTCTAATCCAGAATTATTTAATGTTTTGATGGACACTAAAATATGAATTCAAAATCTATAGATTACGATAAATTATAATATTAAACAAAAAAACCTTTTTTTCATAAACTGCAGAAATTAATTAATTAGACATTCTTTTAGTAAAACTTTAGCAAATTACAAATTAATGAATATCTTGTTTTATATAAACTGGTGTGCAAAACTTAAGCAACGATATAATTTTTAAGCAGACAGAAAAGGGTTGTTGTGATCAGTACAATGAATGAATAATTCAGTAGAAAGATGACTTGTATGCAAGATGATGACATCACACATGATGTGAGGTCTCACAAAATGTGTACAGTCAGCGTGCGCAGTGCAAGACTGCAATAAGTTGGTGGCTTTGATTCCATACTGTATGCGTTCTATTCATTTTTGAGTTAGTATACTTTTTCATCCCTTAAGTACAAAATACTGTGTGTATATTCTGAATTTCATGTTTTCCAGGTGATTTCTTGCAGAGTTATGGCAAAAAAATAATCGTTGCTTAAGTTTTGCACACCAGTCTGTATATAATTTTTTTAGCACAATGAAATAAAATATTATTATATTATGATAAATTTTTAATTTAAATAATTAATTTTATTGAAATTATTTAAAAAAAGATGAAATTATATAT